GTTGATCAGATCCTGTTAAAGCAAATTGCATGTGTAAATACAAAGGATGAAAGGGCTTCTATTATTCTACAAATTTCTAGCAGCACTGCACCTTAAAAGGAATTTTATAGCAAATTTGTAGTTTTGCAACCAGCTCATGAACCAGAGGGCATAAAAAGGACATGTGTTCCAAGAGCAAATGCATTCCATATTTCAGAAATAATAAGTTCTTGCTTGAACCCAGATCCCAACAATGCAGGGAAGCATGCTTCGCTATCTTCAGCAGAACTTTATGTCATTGAGGCTGTTAACCTGGTCTATGTTATAGACAAACAAGACATGACTAAAAACCCCTGCTTTTTAGAAGAGAGCCTCAGTACCTTACTCCTTAATTGCAAGTCATACAAATTCAAGAGTAAAGATGCATGCAAATTGAAACACTCAGCCTATTGATCAGGCTATTCAGAGGTGAAAAAATGGAAACAGCCTAATAGCAAAACCTATCAATAAGATTTTTGAAGGAAGAACCGTATCTGTAGCTGATGATGCCTTCGAGTACACAAACATCCTGTTTATACAAGCGAATCTTGACAGTCAGGAAAAAATTTTCATGCAATCCTATAATTAGTTTCTTGCTATTAAATACAGATTATGAGATTAGAAGGTGCAAAACATATACTTCACATAGCCTTCAACTAGGGGAATGCTTGAACCTCTGAAATTGTAAAAATGCTGTCTTTGAACTAGTGAATTATCATGCACACTGCAGCCTAAAGATGTTAGGAAAGATATACCAATAAACCAGAAATAAGAGCAGGCAAATATGGAAAAAGGAGGAAGAATGTAGAAAGTGAAGGCTCCTGAAGATCAGTGTTCCTAAAGCTAACAGGATTTAATCTGCTCTGGTTCTGTGCTAGAGGCTATCACCATGAACTCTTCATCAAGCCTCTTTAGCTGCCATTAATACTGTTGGAAAACAAGCTACAGTAATAGGGGATCTGACAGAGGCTTGCTCCTTTCCACATGCATGAGTAACCCCTTCTGCTGCCTTGTGAGATTCAGCAGAGGTTGTCAGCTGGAGCCTTGAACACTTGGCTAGGGCAAGGGTAGACAGAGGGAGAGTACGTGATGATTTGCTGTCTTTGATGAGGTAACTGAAGTCTTTGGATTTTTCAGTGCAGAATGGAAAATCTTGCTTCTCTACTACACAGGAACATTTTACTTAGCTGTAGTCATCACTTCTGATTTCTGGCTATAGCTTTGTTTCATATTAACAGTTTACTCATATGTGCTGGAAGTTCTTGGTCCCCAGAAGAGAATTAGGGGGTCCATGCAAATTAAAGGGAAAAAACATCAGAAAGAAGTAAAAAAAAAAGGTTGATTTTTAAAGTGCAAAATATTATTCTCCTATAAGAAAAGTTACATTGGATTGAAACTGCTGAATCAGTGAAAGTCATCAACAGCTTGATCAAACCTGAGCTATACATAATAAGCCATAAAATACATTCTGCAAATTCAAGGGGAAGCAATAATGCAGAGTAGTATAATGGGTTGTCTGCCTCACCTCAGTTCTTGGTAAGCCTCCAAATCCTAAAGTAATTCTTCTCTGTTCTCATTTATGTAAATTTATACATGTAATCATCTCATCTCTGAAGCACTTGTGCTCTTTCCAATAGCACACCAAGCTGTAATGCACTAACACCTCCACACCTTTTCCTGTGCTGAACATGAAACGTAAAAGGAATAGGCCTTGATGGGCAAGTCGAGCAGACTCAGGCGTGCTCTGTGGCAGGCAGCATTCCCTAGAGAACTTTATCTCTGAATTTCGCCCTCAAAAACATTGTCTCTTGCATAGATCTGCTTTATCTACTTAGAAAAATCTTGCTGTGCCAGAAGAGTAAAGTGACTGAGTGGGTTTTTTTTTGTTTGTTTGTTTGTTTTTCTGTGTAAGGGCACTGGCATGGCTTTGCTGAGAGCTGAGTGAATGGCCTGTAGGTTCATTTCTCTTCATCCACCTGCAGAAACCCATAAAACTTTACTTTCATATCTAGATGGTACTTTTTGAATCAAGCTGTGGGAGAAAAGTCTTCCAAAAATATATCATGATCCCAAATGGCTTGAATAAAATAAGTCAAAATGTTGACTGCAAACTTTAGATGAATAAAAGATGAACTCCGCACAACCAGTCAAAAATCAGAGAAAACATTCCAGTTCATTCTTTCCTAGTTTCCCATTGTATCCAAGTTTCAGTTAGAGTGACAAGTAGGAAAATTCCATTTTCAAGCTAGAGAGATCTGCTGGGGTCGAAACCAGTGCACGTCACTAAGCACCTTTTAAAATTCATGCCTCCAGAATCTCACCACCAGCGGTAACCTTGATTTTCAACATACTGAAAGCGTAGATAAAGTCTGGATTGGTTTTGTTGCTCAAAAAGCGTTCAGATACATCTGTTGTAGAAAATTCCATGCTTTCAGTGGCTTAAATACTCACTGTAAGAAGAGAATCATCTCACATTTGGAAGCTAGATGGCTTGCATCTTTTTCTATTCCTTCCTGCCATCTGCAAGATCTCATATGGGGTAAAAACGGGAAATTACTCGATCAAATCTTCAGCTTTCTTCAGTTTTCTTTAAATAACGTGCTCAGCTTTCTGCCTCATGATTTACATAATAAGGAGACTGTGCTGTTTTATTACATCAGTTTCATTTCTTCAGGGAAAAAGGCTCCAGATGTATTTGACTAAGTCATTAGTGCAAACATCCCATTTTTGTAACATCATTCCCTAGATCAACTGTAAAGACACACTGTTGATTTTGGCTACAGGCTTAGGAGTGGACAGACTTTGCCACTTGATCTAAGCAGCTGCCTCCTCATTACTCCCTCCAATGTCACTGTCATGGAGAGAAGTACAAACCCCCAGTGGATCCACAACATGAGCACCAATTTATAAAAGCTGGCAGATGACTCATCTGATAAAAATCACCATTGTAAGGCTGTTCAAGGAGTAGAGTTAGCACTCCTCTGAGAGATTACTTCCTTTTGTCAGGGTGTTTTCCTTCTGTCATATGGGAATTAAATTAAATACGAAGTGCTGGATCCTGACACCTCAGCTCTGGCCAGTAGGTCTATCAGAAACTCCGGCCATGCATGTAGAGAATTGATTACTCAAGGAAAGGATAACGAAAGCCCTTCCTGTAGGAAGTAAATGCAACATGGAAACGTAAAAAGTGAATATATGAATGCAAGTTTATAAGCAAAAATGTTATTAATTTTACCACAGCATTTGCTGTTTTCTCCAACTGATAGCAAAAACTTGACTACACTGAATTATTACTCACTACCAAAAAGCAGGAGCAAGATTTTTAAATTACAGGTAAAACATTGCTGTGACTCACTTTTGTGCCCTCATACTGATCATTAGAAATGGAAGATTTTAGTTTAAATACGTAATTTTAAATTGCTAGCAAATTGTTTCAAATTATACAAATAACACAAGCAGCAGAAATGTTCAAAAGAATACTCTGAAATATCTGAGCTGCCACAAAGGTCTTGGAAAGCAGATGAATACACATGGTTAAGCAGATGAACAGCTTCTAAAAGGAAATATCTTATTTTTGAACTGATGACTTAAGAATGAGTGAGTAGTTCTTGTGAAGGTAGACGGGTTTGTACTTCGCTTGTGCCACAGCTTCTATTTGCTTTCTAGATGCAATTGTAAGACTGAGATATTTTTTTTGAATGGCTGGAGTTGCAAATTAGATGTGTACTGTCACATCTCCATACAATAAACAATTTAATGTTTTTCCTTTGGGAACTCAGTAGGATTACATCAAGATATATAAACATAACAATGAACGATGATAGCAACGGGCAAGCAAAAGATATATATTATATTTAATAATTGACACATGCACTGCTACAGAATTATACCCCACTACATGGAGGAAAATAACACTTATTTGTGTCTACTGGATTAATCATAACTGTTGATTGTGCTGCTCCTTGTTGCTGTGCAGGAGATGTGGTACTTGCACTTAATTGCATCATTTGAAAGCCTTAAAAGAGAGTATTCTAATGATTAAATCAATGTAAACCAGGTTTCAGAGCCAAAATAATCAAATGTCTGACCAAGGCAAATGTTCTCAATAAACGGAGCTTGCCAAACACAAGTGCTAATTAACACCTGATTCTAATTTGGTGATTGTGAAAGTGTGGCAATGGAGCCCTACTATTTTGCAAGTGGAAATAACATTGCTTTCCTCCCTTTGGTTTATCGCACAAGTTACCTTCATGGCCAAAATTCTTCCTTTTGATCCGCTCTGGAAACAATCCATCAACATTGCAACAGCTATATCCAGGTTGTACAATACTTCTCTGTCTAAGAATATGTACCATTCCTTGGTGTTTTCCCAACTGTAATGCTTCTGAATGATTTTTTCTCTGCCTTGATGTTGGTCTTAATTGAAGATTTTCAAAACATTTGAGCTTAAAATGTTACACTGACTGCAAACGTCAAATTCAAATCATCACAATTTCCTTTCATATTTCCTACTATGATTGTTTCTTATTTTAGAGGGAGGAAGAAAAAACCCTCTCTCCCTCTCTCTCTGAAAAGACCTCCTACAAATTTTCATTCAGTAAGACACAACAAAATCAGAAGTTTTAGTATTTGAGCAATTTTTGAAGTCATTGGGCACGTGATTTGTTGCTTGAATAAGAAAGTGTTTTGCTTTGCACTGCAAAGAGTTCTTTGCCTTTACGTAATGGGTGAAGACACAGGGCAGACTCAACCAAAGAACTGACACTAGGTAGTATATTTGCTGGCATCAGCCACCAACCAAACGTGCAAAAAGACCATATTTTTCAAACAGAAGGAGACTGGAAGGACTACTCACTTCCTGAAGCAGGTAATGAATAAGTGTGTCCAGAGCCAATAGTGAGTCTCTTGTCTGGACACCTGGAAAATTCAGACCTTGGAATCACTAACCTAGTACTGTCTCTCAGAGTAATTTTCCCCACAGTCAACGAGAATCTCACAACTCTTTCCACAAATGAATGATTCAATAGCACCATCTGATCCTGAAACAAAAATTGTGTGGAACAAAACAAAGTTAGTGTTAACTTAGGTCTAAATGTTGTAACGCTTCTCACCTATGACATCTCTAAAACAACACAGGCTTGATCTTCATGCATAATGTACATAAATAATTACCAAGGCATCCAATTAATGACACGACTTCAAAACCAGGGTTAAGCAAGTTTAACTTCTTGATGACTGCCAGTACATTTGTTTACGAAATCCACACCTTATCTATTTGATCTATACAACAGTTCTACCATGCACTGAATTTTAAAGTATTCCACTCAATCTCTCTTTAAAAAAAAAAAAAGAAAGAAAGAAAGCCAAATTTGTAAGTGTAGCAAGGTCTGCAGAAACATTTACAAAGGCTCATTGGGATTTTATTACCTCTTGCAGTGCAAATATATTTGACCGTGTTTAAAGCAACTGCAGTTTGTCCTTAATAAGAGTGAATTTGAACTATAAATGGCATCCCCTCTTCGGAAACAATGCTTCCTTTATCTACTTGTGTTCAAAAGCACCTACCAGGGAAACCCGACTTATCTGTTTCATCTTAAAACTGGAGCTGCCTGTCAAGCTTTGACAATCTTCAGATTCTTTTGGAAATAGGAAGCAACCCATTGTGTTCAAATTTGCTCTTAGTGACAGCTGATCCCACAGGAGCATCTAGTTAGAAAATAATTGATAGCACTTGAAACAGAAAAGATTGCAAATCAGGTATGACAAGTTTGCATTCAATGGCAGTCCTAAAACTAATTGTCCAGTTAAGGAATCAGCTTCAGAAAGAGGAAAAAGTTAAGAGGAAGGAAATGAGAAGTTTGTTTATTGCACATACACTTTCATTCTGACAATATTTTCCTTTTAAAAGGCAGGTCTGGAATAAGCAGTACATTAAAGGGATGGGCCCAAAGCAAAACCTCTAAACCAAATACTCTGAACTTTATGACTCAAGCCCATCTGTAGTTTGTTATAAACAAGTCATAAGGCATAAATGAAAAAATCTGGATGCGGAAGGATAGAGGCTCGATACTGCTACTATTGAAGTTAACAGAAAATCTCTTGCTGACTACAGAGGACTTTGGAGGAGGCATTAAAATTCCTAAGTAATACTGGCAAAGCTTCAATCGTGTGCGTGTGTGTGTGTGTGGTGCTTGTGCATATACACACACAGAAACACATACACAACCCAATACTAAAATTCTAACCCTGATTCTTCTATCAGACCGTACCACCGGATGTCAAAAATGAAGATAACATGGGAGGAAGTTTATTTTGATGAGGAAATCCCTAAATGCTGTTGAAAATATGCTTGGAATGGTTAATTAGTATGTAGGGGCTTTGGAGGAAATGATATCTTGCAGCTTGACCATCATCTTTTTGCCAGGTTTCCCTCTGATTTATCTCTTATCTCCAGGAAACTGTCTCACAGCTTCTGAATCTGCTGTTAGCTAAAAAGAGAAAAAGGACAATGACTCATTGTTGGGCAACAGGACAAGTTCTGTTTGGATTCTGAATTTCCACATTAATGCTAGTTAATGTCCTAGCTAATGTACTTCAGGCCATCCAGGGGATATCCAGGGTGGGCTCTGCAACTAACCAAAAGTGAAAGTTCCTTCACAAAAATAACAGAGAGTAAATTAAAAGAAGATATAATACCCAAGGGATGAAAATATTGAGTAACGCAAAAACTATCTGCTGTATTTTCTATGACTAAGGCATCAAAAATGCCTTATTAATAAATGAAAGTATTGTAAACTGTTAAGTAGCTGGTGACAGGATGCAGCAACTGATACCCACCAGAGTTATTTCTGGCCAGGGAATACAAAGCACATCGATTGCTGCGGCTTGTACTTGAGGGGCTATTTTCATGCACTATCAAGCAAGGCGGGGCTCCTGACTCTGCAGCTTTTACTGAGGGCTGGCGACAAAGATGTGGTTAGCACCAGGGAGCGTGCGAGGCTCCGCATCCAGCAGCCACAAACAGGAGCACGGCTGGGCAGCACCCGGCAAGCGTTCGACAGTCCCCCGCTGCTGGGCTCCAAGTTCAGCGCGGATGTAAATGCCGAGCTTAAGGAAGTGCTTGGGAGGGAAGAGAATGCATCAGATGATCACTGTGCCAGCACTAATGAGTACATCAATGAAGGGATTAAGAAAGGATGGAGACATGCTGAGCCCATCCCCACTCCTACAATGCTCAGAGGTGTGGCTTGATTTGGATAAGAACTAAAAATTCAGCGGCTTCTCCAAATATTACATAAAAGGAAAGAATGACAATAACACGATCTAACTGTGTAAATATTTTTTCCAGTTTCACAGACCAAATCCCAAGCATGTCATGTGTCTTACATTTTTTATTCCCCCAGCTCTCTTTCCCCAGTGCTGAGCTAACATCTGAAATAGGAGTACACAATCAGTATGTTAATAATCAAGGAGTCTGCTCACTGCATTATACAGACATCAGAGGAATTTCTCCCACTGTCTGATGAATATCACAAACAGGCCTGTTTGTATTAACAGAGCCTTATGTAGCAAGTCCAAAAGTGACAAACCAAACAGTTTTAAGTGGTTGCATTCCAGCTCCAAATGTCCCGAGTATCAAACATCATTAGAAACCTGCATTCTGGCTGCATGTGAGGGAAACAAAGCCTGGTGGAGGCCCACAGTCAGTTGGGCTAGACGCTCGGTGTCGAAGCAGATGACTACGACAAGGTTTTTCAACTGCCAAAGTGACATTGCAATTGGGACTGCAGCTGGAGAGCCAGAAATACTGTATCGGTTACCAAGAGGGAAGGCATTTATTCTTCAGAGCGACATTTCAGGAAGGGTTTACGTCTGAGTCATCATCTTTGACAGCGTGTGTGTCCATCAGCAAGCCGAGCAGCAGCGCTTCTGCAAAACTTTTCAGGGAGGTTTGAAGCTCTGCAGGTCTCTGTGGACATGACCGGCCGCCCTACGAAGTCAACAGAAAGGTTCCCTCTGGTGCCTGTGGGCTGGGAACTGGACCCTGAGTGGCATTTCTTGGGCTTAGAGGAGGTACAACTCCCAAAAATACAGCCAAACTGAATTGTCACCTGAAATCTAATGTATAAGGCAAGCAGAACCAGCAAGCACAGCTCCTTCCCTGTCCTCCCTGCAGCACGCAGGGAAAGAAAGATGAGCATCATAGAAATGCTCTCAAGGATAGCGGTTTTTTATTGAATATCTTCTGGCAGTTTCTGTGGGCTGCTCCTGTGACTCTCTTTGTCTCTCTCCCCCTCCACCATCCCAGGCCCTTGGGGGACAGGTAGCCCACACAGAGCATGCCACGCAGGCTGTGCAGGCCACAGGGTATGAGCATGCGTGGCAGAAGGACAACCACGAGCATCACAGGCTGCAAGGCTCACGTGCCTTGCCAGAAGGGAGGATGGCATCTGACAAAACTGGGAGAAGGGGTTTCATTCCCCAAAGCTTATTTCAACTAACTTGCTTGGGTTTCCAAAGGGGGCCTGGAAACTGTGAAGGAACAGACTTTCTCATGAGATTTCCTGTTGGTGCTGTATCCAGTAGGACCGGAAATATCACAAGAATAGCTTTTCTTGTGGTATTTTATTACTTCTGCTTCTGCTCCTGGACGGAACTGGGAAGTACAAGGGTGCATGGAAATGAAATATAGTGGTCAGAGAGCCTGCCAAACATTTGGAACGACAACAGCAAGAAAGGTCACTCACGTAAGTCTCAGGAACTGCTTCCGATCTACTCTTACTTTATTCAGACACATTTATGTGATGCTGCTTTTAAAACTCATTCACTCAAGGCTGGCATCACTCTGTATTCAAACATGGGGTGTCTGTGGGCTCAGCTGTGGCTACTGCTGCCAAGTTCCTATGGAGAAGTGGCTTCTGTTTCCTAAAACGTTTAACTGGCATAATCCATCATCAGAATAGGGGCAAGAAGAAAAAAAACACGAACGCCTCTGCTACATCTCCTAGTTGTACTCCCTGTATTTCATATTCTGGCAGCAAATTAGCCATGTTAGACAATACGCACATCTGCATGCATATTTTCCATGGTCCACACCACACGGACTACCTATTTCTTGTAACTGATTTCCTGCTCAAAATTGTTTTACAAATGCTTTGTGCAGACAAATTCTGTGCAGCAACTGTTTGTAAATACGAGCCGCAAATATTTTTTCAGCAATCTCAGGCAGTGGCTGAGTGTCTGATGGCAGCAGTGACGCAGCGTGAAGGCAGCAGAGCAGCTGTGAGCAGGTCCCCCAGCTCTGCTCGCCCTGAAGGCGAAGGGAGGCAGCTGGAGGAGATCTGCTACCTTGGAGCAGCCGGGAGGAAAGGGAAAGCCAACAACAGCTCCAGGCTGCCGAAAAGCTATTCGGCGATTTACACCCTTGGCATCGCAATCAAAACTACCTAAACCACATGGGACCATCTCCATTTCCTGTTTGGTTGATGCAATCTTTGCACATTACTCCTCTTTCTTCCTCAAGTGAATTCTCCTTCGCTGACAAACTAATTTTGTTCCATTATTAAATGAGCATTAGCTGCTAATCAACTGTTTGCTTTCCTCAACAAATTTCATTTGCAAGCAAACTGAATTAGAAGGGGTATAAGCACAGAGGAAGAGAAATGCAACTTAAAAGCAGAGATGAGATTCCCTGAGTTCGATGCCTTATTATCTGACTCTCGTACTACGTGCACTCTGCTCAATTTAGATTACAAAGTGGAATTTCGCTTCAGATGCCATACGGAATAATCACGAGTGCTTTCAAGTCCTCCTTTTTTTTGTTTTTTTTTTTTTTGCAAGGGACATAGGCTACTTGCTTCATGCTGCTGCACTCTTCAGATGGCTGGCCACCACTCCCAGCAGAGTTCTCTCCCTACTTCAGTCTGAAGCCAGCCTCATGGTCTTTCCTTCTCAGCTCCCCAGGCTCAGTGGCACTGTACTGCACAGGCAGTCAGCTTACCAGCCTGCTTGTCTCTATTTTCTACCCTTCCTACAAGTT